AGTCTCTTGAGTCCACAAACTCTGACATTATTTAGACAAGGCCATAATCAAAGTGGAAGTTCTCTCCTCCCTTCAGAGAAAGGTACCTCCTTCTTTCATGGCTCCTTTCCACCAGGATCTTACTCACAGAGATCTTTCATGTAGGTCATTTTTTGCCACAATATCTTGGTTTTCCATGCTCGAAATGCTCTCATGGGCCTTTTAGCCATATCCGAATGCCTTAAGGGCTGATTCTGAGGCCAAAGTTAATGTGCAGTCTTAATCTTGGCACTCCTTGCCTATTAAATAAATTTTTAAAAAAATATTTATTTACTTATTTGAAAGTCGGAGTTACACAGAGAGAGGCGAAGCAGAGAAAGAGAGAGATCTTCCATCCACTAGTTCACTCCCCAATTGGCTGCAATGGCTGGAGCTGCACCGATCCAAAGCCAGGAGCCAGGAGCTTCTTCCAGATCTCCCATGTGGGTGCAGGGGCCCAAGGACTTGGGCCATCTTCCACTGCTTTCCCAGCAGAGAGCTGGATCAGAAGAGGAGCAGCTGGGACTAGAACCGGCACCCATATGGGATGCTGGCACTTCAGGCCAGGACGTTAACCTGCTGCGTCACAGCGCTGACCCCTATTGAATAAATTTTTAACCTAATTTTAAAATGTAAGATACAAGAGAAACCAAGGGAGGGGAGTGATACGGGGCTGTAGATAGAGGAATGGAGTCTAATGGAGGAGAATCTGGGATGAAAACTTTTTGGGAACTTTATTCTTTCCTCAGATAGAAAAAGTGTTTTTTCATGAAATGTTTGTTTTGTTTTGTTCCTAGAAACATAGATATTAATTACAATGAAAAATATGTAATGAATTTTATAGTCCTAAACTAAAAAATAGAAATGTAAAAATAGATTATGTATAATAAAAAGCACACAAATTTCCCTTTCACCTAGTATGTTTTGATTTTCCAGAAAGTTGAACATCATGATATCTGAATATTTGACATTTCTACATGTTTTTGTGTTACCTTTCCACCTTGCTTTTATTTTTCAGTAAAATGTCAGCTGCAGTCCGATCTGGTGGAATTGATCATTACTTTCCATCTCTTTTTTTTTTTTTTTTTTTTTGGAGATTTATTTTATTTTATTGAAAGAGTTACACAGAGAGGGAAGGAGAGGCAGAGAGAGAGAGGTCTTCCATCTGCTGATTCACTCCCCAGATGGCCACAACGGCCAGAGCTGTGCTAATCTGAAGCTAGGAGCCAGATGCTTCCTTTGGGTCTCCCACACAGATGCAGGGGCCCAAGGACTTAGGCCATCTTCTACTGCTTTCCCAGGCCATAGCAGAGAGCTGGATCAGAAGAGGAGCAGCCTGGACTTGAACTGACGTCCATATGGGATGCCGGCATACCTGCTACGCCACAGCACTGGTCCCTACATTCCATCTCTTGACTGTTTTCTCTGCTTTCCAATCTGTGGAAAGCCCATGGCCATATTCTTAGCAATTCCAGCTTGGCTTGTTTTTTAGTTTTTTTTGTTGTTTTTTTTTTTCTAGTCATTTATTTTCCTATTTCTTCAAATCTCTGAAATTTATATCCATATTCATAGTTCTTTCTCTTCAATTATATATAAAATGTCCCTCTCAAATGATACCTGCACTTACGTGTTTCCTCAAGAGTTTTGTACTTAGTTATTACTCTCTTAGCATCAAGTGTCAGCATTAGTTTTTTTTTTTTTTTTTTTAAGATTTATTTATTTATTTGAAAGGCAGAGTTACAGAGATGCAGAAGCAGAGGCAGACAGAAAGTTCTTCCCATCTGCTGGTTCAGTCCCCAGATGGCCGCAATGGCCGGAACTGCGCTGATCCGAAGCAAGGAGCCAGGAGTTTCTTCTGGGTCTCCCATGCAGGTACTTGGGGCCATCTTCTACTGCTTTCCCAAACCATAGCAGAGAGCTGGATCAGAAGTGGAGTGGCTGGGACTTGAACTGGCACCCCTATGGGATGCCCCACTGTAGGCAGCAGCTTTACTCTCTGTGCCATGTTGCTGGCCCCTCAGCATTAGAATTAATCTGGGTTTTTCTTGTTGTTGTTGTTCACTTATTTGCTCACCTGTTTTTTTCTTTTACAAGTTTTTTTTGTCTTTTTTATTTTAATTAGTTTTTAATAGATTCAATGTGATTTGTAGATATAATTCTAAGAACATATGATATTCCCATTCTTCTTTCCTCCCTGCTCTTCCTCACACCCTAATTCCTTCTCCTTTTCTTTTTTGTTTAGTTTTTGTGATAATGTATTTTACACTATAGTAAAAAGGCTTAATACTTAACTGAATAAGAAGTTTAGCAAGTAAAAAGCAAAAAGACCCTAGTTTAATGGGAATATAGACAACAACTATAACAATAATTGAATGGAAAAATGACCATTGCACTTTTTTTTAAAGATTTACTTATTTATTTGAATGACAAATTTACAGAGAGAGTCAGAGACAGAGACAGAGAGATCTTCCATCTGTTGATTCACTCCCCAAATGGTCACAACAGCTGGGACTCTGCCAGGCTGAAGCCAGAAGCCAGGAGCTTCTTCTGGGTCTCCCAGATGGGTGCAGGTGCTCAGGGGATTGTACCATTTCCCATTGTCCTCCTAGGTGCCTTAGCAGGGAGCTGGATCTGAAGAAGTGCAGCCAGGACTTGAACCTGTGCTCATATGGGATGCCAGTGCAGCAGGCAGCAGCTTTACTCGCTGTGCCACAGCATCAGGCTCCCCCCCCACCATTTCACTCTTATATAGTGAATATTAAAGAATCACAGGTCATTAAAACTGTAGTAGTATAATATTCTTAACCATTGGTTTGACAAATTTTTAAACAAAGTTTTACGGTACTATATTTGCAGTAATACTGATAACACACAGACCTTTCTTTTTTGTTATGTTTGTTTTTTAAAAATTTTAGCTCTCACATATAAAGGAGAACATGTGGTATTTGTCTTTCTGGGTCCAGCTTATTTCATTCAACATGATGTCCTCCAGTTGTGTCCATTTTGCTGCAAATGCTAGAATTTTCATTCTTTTTTACAGCAGAATGATACTGAATTTTGTATATATATACCACATTTTCTTTATCCATTCATTGGATGATAGATACCTAGATTGTTTATTTGCTCACCTATTAGAAATGTTCCACAGACTAGAAGAAAATATTTACAAAAGACACCTGTGACAAAGGACCATTATTCAAAATACATAGTAAATATTTAAACTCAGCAGCAAGAAAATGAGCAACCCCAAAATGGGTTTAGGGTTTGAATAGGCACCACAACGAAGAAGATGCACAAAAGATAAATAAGTGTGTGGAGAGATGTTCCACATCATGTGTCATTAGGGAGTTGCAGATTGAAACAATGGAATGCCACTATACACATACTAGAGTAATGAAAATCCAAAAACATTGACAACACCAAATGCTGGTAATGATATGGAGCAACAGGAGTACATATTCTTTGCAGATGGGAATTCAATATGATACAGCTACTCTGGAAAAAAATTCTACAGTTTCTTACAAAACTAAACTTACTCTTAGCACACATAATCTAGCAGTTGTGTTCCTTGACAGTTTTCTAAATCTGTTGAAAACCTATGTCTGTTCAAAAACCTGCACATGAATGTTTATGCAGATTTAGTCATAACTACCAGAACTGGAAGGAACCAAGATGTCCTTCAATGGGTAAGTGGGTAAATTAACTACAGTTCAGCCATACAATGAAATGTTACCTGGGACACAAGGAAATAGCTGTCCGTCTAAAGTGCAGCCTTAATCATGGCACTGCTTACCTAATGAGTAAACTTTTTAATTTTAAGACTTGGAGGAAACTTAAATGTATATTACTCAGTGAAAGAAGCCAATCTGTAATGGTTACTTACTGTTTGATTCCAACTATACAGCATTCTGGAAAAGGCCAAACTATGGAGACAATACAAAAATCAGTGGTTGCTAGGAGTTAGGGGAAGGGAGGCATGAAAAGGTGGAGCACAGAGAATATTTAGGTTAGTGAAACTGCTCTGTGATACCATTCTGTTGCATATATGCTGTGGTAAACTTGTCAAGATCCATGAATGTACCACACCAGGAGTGAACCTATGGTAACACAAACTTGGGTGAGAATGAACTCTCAGTGTAGCTTCATCAATTATAAACAGTGTATCTCTGGTATAGATTCTACAGGTCAAGGAGGCTGTGCGTGTGTCTGTGGGGACTCTGCTTTCCCTTCGGTTCTGCTGTGAATCTAAAGTGTCTCTAAAACATAAAGTCCATGAATTAAATACTCACAACTGCTTGCATGCCAGGCATGAAGTAGCCAATTACTGTCTAAAAAATGTTATAATTTACTGGTGAAGACCAATATGTCTTTTAGCAAAAATTGGTTGGGTAGGAAATACACTCAGAATTCTTGTGAATGACCAATCTAATATGCTAGACCCTTTGTTTCTTGACTTAGTCCACACCATCCTCCTTTAATCCATTTCAGCGACACTGTCTCATAGTTCTACCTTGCATCTTGTCCTTCTTTGGAAACTTTCTACTAAATATCAATACCCTGAAACTCACTTAACCTATTCGTTTGTGCACCCACCTCTGGATCAACCCACCTCTCTGCCCCACACAAGGGGATGTCTCAACATGATCATCTCTGCCTGGCCTCCTGGCCTGTTGGGAGGTTGCAGCTCCCTCTCAATTCTCTTTCTGGTGTTCTTTGTGCTTCTGGAAGGGGGCAGCAAACTACTCGTTAGTGGTCAAAGAGATCCAATAGAATTCTACTTATTTATTTCAGTAGCATAAATCTAGGGTTAAAAATACAGAGTTTGTTTATATAGCAAAGAAACAAGGAAAGAAAGATATCTTTAAAATTCTATAACCAAATACTTAGGCTTGCTGAAGTTCATTTCTCTGCTGTCACTGCAGGTATTCTCTGTTTAGCAGTGGAAAATATCCCTTTTTTTTTAACCTATGTATTTTACACAGAACTGAAGATGTCAAGGAGAACGTGCTAGCAATTTTACTCATTGTCCTGGTTTCCCTTCTTGGATTTCTGACCTTGAACCAAGGCTATTGCAAAGATATGTGGGTGCTCCTCTTCTGCCTCGTCATGGCCAGCTGCCAGTACTCCCTGTTAAAGGCAAGATAACATCTATTCTTCTCACTAACAAGTGCTCTTACTAATGTAGCCTTGACTCATGAGATGATGACACAGACACTTCTGATTTGTCTTTTAGAGTGTTCAGCCTGATCCTGCCTCACCGATCCACGTAAGTTTCAAATGCAGGCAAGTAGCTTATCTTATTTGTTTGTATTGAAGACAGGGAAAAAAGGCCAACATCTATTCACAAGGCAAAATCTCCATCTATATCTACATTTTGAATTTATAAATAGTAATCAGAGTATGGTGGTGAAGTTCTGGTGTGCAAGGTATGGGCAGTAGTGGGAGAATGTACGAGAATGGGGTGTAAACAGTATGGAGAGTCTTTGCTGTCACACTGGATCCATGTCAGGAAAGACCCAGCGGCCTGATTGGGAAGACTGAGATTCTTTAACCAGCTTACCTTTGTTTTCTGATGCCTCCACTTGAATGTTTGACCCTGAGCAAGATACCGAGGCTCACTTGGCTAATCCTCCGCCTGCGGCGCCGGCACTCCAGGTTCTAGTCCTGGTTGGGGTGCCGGATTCTGTCCTGGTTGCTCCTCTTCCAGTCCAGCTCTCTGCTGTGGCCCCGGGAGGGCAGCGGAGGATGGCCCAGGTCCTTGGGCCCTGCACCCGCATGGGAGACCAAATGGCCACCAGGTCATTTGGGGGGTGAACCAACTGAAGGAAGACCTTTCTCTCTGTCTCTCTCTCTCACTGTCTAACTCTGCCTGTCAAAAAAAAAAAAGAAAAGATACTGGTCTTTTCCATACCTCAGTTTCCCTAATGTGAATATGAGACTAATGAAAGGCCTATGGGAATTATATTGTGCTAGAACTGTGCCTGGCACATAGGGATTGCTCAGTTAAAAAGCTATTATTAATGGTAATGTCAGTTATTACAGGCATGAATTATTGTATTTTTTAAAATGTATATATTTTGGGGTATAATGTGATAATTTTATATATTTATGTTGTGGAATAATCAAGCTGATGAACATATCTGTCATCTCATTTTTTCTTTGTGGTGAGAACATTTAACACAGAACCTTTTAGCAATTTTAAGGTATACAGTAAAATTATTCACTGTAATTGCCATGCTATGGAATAGGAATCCAGGATGCATTACTTCTATCTAATTGAATCTTATATAATTTTAGTAATTTTTCCCCATACCACCTGCACCCCTAGCCCATTGGTAACCACCATTTACTCCTATGGTGACTTCATAGTCACCATTAGATCAGATATTTGTCTTTCTGCATCTGATTTGTTTTATGTAGCATAGAATTCTTCAGGTTCATCCATGTTGATGAAAATTTCAGGATATTCTTTTTTCTTTTTTTTTTTTTTTAAAGATTTGTTTATTTATTTGAAAGAGTTACACAGAGAGAGGAGAGGCAGAGAGAGAGAGAGAGTCTTCCGTCTGATGGTTTACTCCCCAGTTGGCCACAACGGCCGGAGCTGTGCCAATCCGAAGCCAGGAGCCAGGAGCTTCTTCCAAGTCTCCCACATGGGCACAGGGGCTCCAAGCACTTGGTCCATCCTCTACTGCTTTCCCAGGCCATAGCAGAGAGCTAGATCAAAAGAGGAGCAGCCGGGACTAGAACCGGCGCCCATATGGGATACTGGCACTTCAGGCCAGGGCGTTAACCTATTGCGCCACAGTGCCGGCTCCAAGGGTGTCCTTATTTCAAGGCTAAATAATTTCCCCTATCTGTGTCTATACACATATGGGGACTTCAAAACCTTTAGGCAAAGTTAAATTGAAAGGCAAATTTATTTTGGTGTAAAACAATTCATGTGAATTCATGAATACAACTGGTTTTCAAAACACTGATGGAAAATGCATATTTATGAAAAACCTATGCTTGGGTTTCAAAAATTTTTAATTCCAATTTACAGAAATATTTTGATGTACCCTCACATACATAGCTTTTTTTCTTTATCCATTCATCTATTAATGAATACTTAGATTGAACAGTCCAAATATGACCATATCTTGACTGTTATGACCATATCTTGACTTTTGGGAATAATAGTGCAATGAACAGAGGAGTATCAGTATCTCTTTGAGAAATTGTTTTCATTTCCTTTGGATGTGTACCCAGAAGTGGGATTGCTGGATCACACATTCTATTTAGTTTTTTCTGAGAAACCTCCATATTGTTTTTCACAGTGGTTCTACAGTTTGTATCCCCACCAGAAGTGCGAGAGTGTTCCCTTTCCTTCACGTCCTTACCGACAATTGTAATCTTTTGTCTTTTTGATGAAAGTCATTTTAACAGATGTGAGATGAAATCTTATTCTTCATTTCTACAGAAAAATGCTCGCTTCTTACTCCATTTTCAAGTTTCGCATTGCTTTTTATCCCTGTAACTTTGAGCTACCTCACAACAGAGACCCTGGGCTTCCTGCTCTGGATCTGTTGGTGCTCTGGCATTCTCGTCTGAGCTCTGAGGCATGCGTGGCTTCCTGTGACCCTGCGGCCCCTTTCCCTGGTCTGCCGTGGCCTACACTGCTGTGGGACAGGCCCTTTCTGTGATGCACCCTGATCATGCCTTTACACCAAGTTCACTGACAGCAGTCTTCTCTCCCTAATATGACAAGCTCCTGGGAGCCACTGAAAGCCCTTCTGACAAAAGAAAGCTTGATCTTCCCTGTATTGTGCTTTCCAAAAAAATTAATATCTAGGATTTAGAACTGATTTTAAATCTGTCATACCTCATGTTTAACTCATAGTAATTAAGGAAAGCTTATAATTGGATGATCACATGGCATTCGCTGCTATCTTGTTAAATTCCTCTGTTCCCCATAATTGGTTTACATATAATACATCTTCTTTTATCCTCCTGTCTGACTGTCAGGATCAGTAGAAGCAGCATAATTAGGGTATTAAGATGTGTTGTTGTGATTATCATTGGAAATCTGGGTTAGGTGATGTGAGAGATGTGCAGCTCTTAAGGTTTTTGTACACGCTCACCTGAGATTGCTGCAGTAAACTCCTCTCTCAGAGGAGTGACTCAGTGAGGGGTGGGATATACTATTAAGCATTCCTTTCCTGCATGTATTTTAGAAACAATGTGGAACATACTAGGAAAGGGGCCGTGGCAGGCACAGCTGCACAATCCGTGTGGCCTTGTCATGCCTGTTACTGTGACTCCTGAGCCACTGTTCTGAGTTGGAGTTATATTGTCTAGCTCATGGAGGACTAGACCAAACTGCTCTTCTTTTATTTGAGCAAGCATGCCAGAGGAAGACAGTAAGAAATGACTCATCTTACTGTCATGGGAAGGACACACTCAGACACTTAGTGATTAACTCACTAGCATGGATTTCTAAGCCGATTAGATCCTGATTTGAGTTGCTTCTCCCTAATAGTTCTCAAGAAGAGTGAAAATAGGGTAGCCATAAAATATTTTTCTCTTACAATCTGACTGAACTTATGCAAGTATTTAGAAAGTAGATTTATTATCTCCAATTTGTAGATGAGAAGACTTCAGAAAGAAAATGACAAGAGAGTGAACCAAGATTTGGGGTAGCAGCCTACTGCTGTCTCTAGCCTTGGCTGATTTTCATTCATAAGGTGCTGTCTCAAAAGTCAAACTGCTTTTAAAGCCCCAAGACTTTGTGTACCTGTGGGGAGGTGGTTATTAAAAACCTCAGCCTGCTCCTTGCCCTTAAAGTTATTGATTGGCTCTTCTTGCTTGCCTTCAGGGGTAAAGGTGGCAAATTTTGAACAGATCGTTAAAACCAGAAGATACCAAAATGAAAATAAAATTTTTGCATAACATGCCTTGTATTGCAATTTTAAATGCAGAATTAAAAATTACATGTTAAGAGCTATGGTATAATATAGGCCCTGGACCTGGGAGAGCTTAGAGAGATGGGAGTTAGTGGGGATACTGGAAACAATCTGAGGGTCAGAAGCTGGCTGTATAGTATGGACAATTACAATAACTTGTTTATAGTTTTACATACAATTCTGTCAGTTAGTGATAACCCAAAAGCAAAATTCAGTAGACTACCTTGGAGGCAGCAAACAACTGGAGTGTTGTGTGTGGGGACAACCTGAACAAGCCAGAATTAGAGGCTGATTGCCTAACCTCTGGGGATTCTGATTTGAGGCAGCTAGGGCAGAACCTGGGGATCTACATACCCTGCTCCCTTGATGATTACAGTGGGGCCATCAGATCCCACGTTGAGAAACACTGGGGTAATGGGAAGCAAAGCGATTTCAGATTTGAATTCAACCTTACCATATATGATGTGTGGTCTTATGAAAGTTATTTCTCTGAATCTTAGGTTTTTCAGCTGCAAAAGAGGAAGTAATACAACAGAACTGTAAAGGGGATTAAACAAAATAAGATACCTCAAGGGGTTAGCAATGTATTAGTCAGCTTTTTGTTATTTTAAAATACCTAAGAGGAGAAACTTAGGAAGGAAAAAGGTTTATTTCACCTTACAGTTTTCAGGGTTCACAATACAAGGTCAGACAGCCCCCCTGATTTGAGCATCTGGTGATGCTGGAGGGTAAGAGAGGAATGATCACACAGCAAACCGAGAAGCAGAGAAAGGCACAGGAGCAAGCTCCTCCTCTACCAACTGTGTGATTTCTCCTTATAATGCTGTCATGATTTGATCATGGGCTATGCCCCAGTGTGCTAATCCAATGCAATCACTCCACAAAGGCCCCACCTTAGACACCATAATTGGATCAAGTCTCCACCCTAATCCATCAAGCATTATCCATTAACCATTACCATAATACTTTAGCAGTTTAAATGTCTGCATGAGGTCTATCCCTAACTAGCACAGAACCTGGCCCTGGGGAAGCATTTAGCAAATGTTAACATTTGTTTACATGTGCAAAATATGGATAACAATAGCAACTGCAGTTGGATTTGGTAAAGAATGTATTGGACAATTTATGTAAATAGCCAGTGGAGGTCCTAGAATTTACTGAGTTTACTAAGTCCTCTGTAATTGTCTTTCCCTGTAAATGTTCACTCCACATATTTCTCTTGTTTCCTTAATTATACCACAAACTCCAATGAACAAGGGCTATCCTTTGTTATGTGTTCATTCTATTAACTGTTGCCACTATTCAGTGAAGACTTTAGTATCCA